AAATTTGATATTCTTTTACTGTTATTTTAAGTACTCTTCATTCTTTTTTGAGATAAATTATTTATTTACTTTGATAAAATATTGATTTTTAGCATTAAATTATATATTTTATATATTCAGTTACTTTCATCTCAAAATAATATGATACTTTAATATCAGTAAAAAAATTTATAAAAGTGATATTTTTATTATAAACTAACTTAATTAATATATTAAAACTTTTTTTTTCAATTAAGTTTTTCATACTAAATCTCTTATATATTGTTAAGTAATTTGAAATACAAATTTTTCTCAGACTTATTCTTTTTCTAGATCTGTTAAAAGTTCAGTGATATCATTTTCAGTGAACTTAGTGATTGTTTATTGAGACTTCTATTTTACAAAGTAGTTTTTAACAATATAACTTTTTTTCTTACAGTAGTAGTACTGAATATATAAATAAAAATTTGCAGATTTCTTTGCTATAGTGATTAATTTTAAAAAATTAATAAAAGTTTAAATGTTCAAGATTCATAAAGCTTTTATCTTAAGATATTAAATTTATTTCTTTGCAAATTTTTTAACTTCTGAGTAATATTGATCATCTGAAAAATATTAGCTATCTGAGTATAGATTTTTTAAAACTCAGTATATATATCAGTTATTATATTGATTATTATTATCATTCCCTAAAATATAAAAAAAAACTTATTATTAGAATCAATTTTATAATTCTTATTAAAAATCTTAATCTCATTTATCAAATGTAAAAACTTTGTGATAAACTCATAATAATTATTATCATTATATATATTTAGTTTGTAATAATTATTCATAATATTTTATAACTTTGTAATATTTTTATAGATTAATTTGAGATATTTAAATATTTTTTTTTATAGTTTAATGTTATTTAGAATATTTTTTTTAATATAAAGAATAATATAGTATGCTATATCTTTATTAGTTCTATTTTAATATATATAATTTTTATATATTTGATAAAATAATAATTAATATTCTTTTAAAGTTTGTTTTTTATGTAGAAAAGTCAGTACTTAAACTTTGATTTTTTATTATTAATAAGTGTTTTGAATTATCAATTTTAAAAGATTTTTTTATGTTCTTGTTCTCTAAGATGATGATATTTTAACTTGTTATTTGATTACTAACTGTTATACAAATTAAGATATAACTAAACTCATTATATTCTACAATAAGCTTATTAATTTATCTTTATTTAATGTTAGGGAGTGAATGTGAGCTGCATAAGAAGGAAACTCTCTGCATTGCTAACTGCTATATAACAAAATACTAAGCTTGATGGAATGAAAGGAGGTGCTGGGGCCTGCCCGGGTTATAACCACCCACATGGTCATTTGATCATGTGAGAATATTTGGCCTAACTGGGCGCCGAGCTTAATCCGACGTCGAGTCTAACCGGGCACTGAGCCTCGGTCGGGCTCAGTCGGGCGCTGAGCCTAACATCACCCCCTGGTCTAGGGACAGGCATGTCCTCATGCTGGTAGGTTGTCATCAACCTCATCCTTCAGATAGCTGTCTGTCTCCCATGCCTTCAGCCACTCATCTAGTCACCTTGGGGGTCCAGCTTTTGTAGGGTTAGCTTCATGAAAGTCACATATGGCATGTGGTGATTCTTTGAAGTCATGAGCTGGATACCAAGATGAGTCCTCATCAAATTCCTTCCAGTGGACTTGATATTGCAGTTTGTCTTGATTTATTTGACTGACTAATATATGCTCCACTTCTCATTCATTTTCTCCATCTATCTTAATTGAATCTGGTGGTTTGACAGTCTGCTCTGATAGAGAGTCTCTTGAATCTTTGCACAGCTTGTCTGAGGAGAAGATTGAATGAATTTTCATGATTGTGAGAAGGTTCAGTCTATAGGCATTGCTCACTCTCTCTAGAATTCTGAAGGGGCCTGTGTTCTGTGCTGCCAGCTTATGGCTTGATTGATCAATTCTGTATGATTTCAATATCAAATAGACAAAATCTCTCACTGTGAAGTCAGATTTCTGATGATGTCTGTCAGTCTGCCTCTTCATCTGTTTCTGTGCTGTCTTCATGCCCTTGTCTGCTCACTTCCAGATCTCTTTCATCTATTTAACAAAGTTTTGAGCAGCTCTTTAATTTGTCCTCTTCTCTGCTCTTAGTTCTCTTGACAGAGGCCTTCAGTCAAATGATGTTCATGACTCATATTCATTTGCAGCTAGAAAGGGGGAGATCTCAGTGAAGATGTTTGAAGTGACTGCAGAAGCATGATCTATAATGAATAACCACTCATTCCAGTTATTTTGATAGTAATTAACATATGGATGAAGGTGTGTGACAATATACTGATTTGTTGTCTCTGTCTGCTCATCTGTCTGTGTGTGATGTGCTGTTGAGAGTTTCAACTTTATGTCTAGAATTCCTGTGAACTCATCCCAGAAGTTTGATATGAACTGAGGGCTGCAGTCAGAGACAATCAAGTCTGGTGCCCCATTATAGAAATAGTAGAATTGAATGAATAATCAAGTCAGCTCATGGGCTGTAACTCCACAGATGGTAGGAACTGAAATTGCCTTCTTGCTTAATCAGCAGACTATAACTAGAATGGCATCACAGCCACTTTTGCTCTTTGACACATTCATGAAGTCCATTGTGATATGCTGCTATATCTGTTCTGATATTGATAGCAGCTTTAGCAGGCTGGGGGCTTTGTCTCTTGAAATCTTACTAACTCAGCATGTATGACAGTTCCAAACATAGTGTAAGACATCCACCCACCAGGTGGTTCATCAATAGTGGGGATGAACCAGGGCCAGAGTCTTCTGTCCCCCTGGGTGTGCTGTTGAGGCCTGATCATGAATTTTCTTTAGCAGAGCAGCTATAAGAGTTTCTTTCTGAACAGACACTATCAATCTTCCATGGTAGAGCAACATATTATCCTCCATTGTATAGGGGCTATTCTCCTCTCCTACTTGCTACTGCAGGGGCTCAATTGAGATGACTATCTTATTTAAAGACACTATGCATTCAGCAATGTTCTCTTCCTCTGAGGAGTTGATTCTAGCAATATTCATAGAGAGAGTGATCTGGGGGTCAAGAGTCTCTGATTCTAGAAGAATCTGCATATGACTGTTCTGTTGCTTCTTAACCTGCTCAGGCCTGCTCAGTGTGTCTGCTAGCAGGTTGGCCTTATCTGGTCAATACTTAATCTCAAAATAGAAATGGGAAAGAAATTCTGCTCAGTGGGTCTGACATGCATTCAGCTTCTTGATTGTCATGAAGTATTCCAGTGCACAATGATCAGTGAGAACCTTGAATTGTTCTTTCTGTTGTAGTCTCTCAAGCTCAGCTCATCACTTCTGCAATGCTCAGATGACTGCAAGCATTTTCTTGTCATGGATCTCATAGTTGAGCTCTGCATCATTCATTGACTTGAAGTAGAAGATCACAGAGTGTCAAAGATTATCATTCAATCTTTGACTTAGTATCTCAGTCACCACTCCATCTGAGGCATCAGTCTCAATGCAGGTTTCATGTCCAGGATCAAAGTAATGTAGGGTTGGAGGCTCCACCAGCTGCTTCTTCAGTTTCTCAAAGACTGATTGACATTCTGATGTCCACATGAATGAAACTGTCTTCTTTGTCAACTGGTATAGTGATTTTGCAATTCAGCTATAGTTTCTTATAAATCACTGATAGAAGTTGACAAATTCTAGAAATGATTGAACATCTTTTACTGTGATTGAAATCTGCCACTTTGTGATGACAGCAGTCTTCTCAGAGTCTGTCTCAATCCCCTCTGTGGTAATGATAAACCTCAGATATCTTGTTCTCTGAACAGCAAACTTGCATTTCTGAATGCTAGCTTGCAAGCCTGCTGTCTTTAATCAGTCCAGTATCAGATTCACTTGCTGCTTGTGTTCTTCAAGAGTCCTGCTGTAGATTAGAAGGTCATCCATAAATGCTGTCATGAACTTGTCCAGATAGTCAAAGAAGATACTGTTGACAAACTGTTGAAAGCAGGCAGGGGCATTTGTAAGACTGAAGAGAATCACTCAGTATTTATAGATTCTGTAGCAGGTTCTAAAGATGGTCAGATCCTCTGACTTAGAGTCCATTCAAATGCAATGGAACCTCTGCTGAATGTCCAGCTTTGTAAAGTATTTTGCTCTGTTGAGTCAGTCCATCAGCTCATCTATTAAAGGCAAGGAATACTGATCTTGTTTGATCATAGCATTCAGCTTGTGAAAGTCAACACAGAATTGTAGCTTCTTCCCACTATGAGCAATCAGAATTGGGGAGGTGTAGAGGGCTGAACTTGAAATGACAAAGCTCTTTGCTAGGTTGATTTTGAGATAGGTCTTCACTGCTTCTAGTTCCTCCAGATTCATCTTATATAGAGGTGCATGTTCAATGTTCTGAATGAGGTCAGTGTTAGACTGAAGCTCTATCTTAAAATCAACATTCTTCTGTAGAGAGGGTAATTTATCTGATGCTTTCTTTGAGAAATAGTCCTTCTGACCTTTCAATCATTCTGGTAAGTTGCTGATCAGCTTCTCATCAGACTTCTTCTCAGCTCTCACTAAACTCCACTTCTTCTCAAGCTGTTTATCAATTTCATACAGACTGGTTATGAAGACTGTTGAGTTCTTGTTCTTCATATAACTGTGAAAAGAAGCAGTCTCAATGAAGTTCATATTCATCATCTGTGATGCTGTCTCCTCCCAGGTTGGTCTCTGTCTTGTCTTAGATGTCATGGCTGAGCTGGTCCCTTTCAATCTGCAGAGCTGAGCCTGATGCTTCTGTCTGATCTTCTTGTTCAGTTTGATCTCTCTTCATTTCACATCTGTCTGATACTCAGACTTAGAGTCTGGATGCTTCAGTATTGATCAGAGCACTATCTTCAGCATCAGCTCCACCATCTGTTCTGGAATAGACTGTTCACTCAGCCAAACCAGATGTTGGTTTTTAACATCCAGCCATATATCCTGTGCTGTCAACCACTTTCATCCCAGGATGACAGAGTACTGGCCTAGGTCCATCATCAGCAGAGGAACATTCCGGAATCTCCAGCCATTCACCCAGAGGTTTAGGGTCAATGTGCAGTCTATCACCTCATCAGAGGCATCATTGTATCCCTTCATGCAGCATTTGAATGGGAGTTTCTGAAACTTTCTATTGAAGAATCTCATCAATTCTATAGTATATCAGATATCAATAAAATTCACATCATTTGCTTCAGTATCAGTGAGAGAATTTGTAGAAGTAGCAATTTCATTATGGACTAATTTAATTGAGACATTAAAGCTCTTTCCCTCAATCAAGTTCTTCATCTCAAACCTCTCACAGACTATTGAACTACCTGAGGTGAAGTCTTCTCTCAGACTCACTCTTTTCTCAAATCTGCTGAAGACTCAGAAGTGTCATTCTCTGTGAGCTCAGTGATCATCTGTTGAGACTTCTGCTTCACAGAGCAGTTTCTGGCAATGTGATCTTTCTTCTTGCAGTAGTAGCACTGAATATCTGAATGAGTGTCCAAGGCTTTCTTTATGATAGAGGATTTTGTGGCTGAGATGCTGTGAGAAGTTTGACTGTCAGAGACCCACAGAGTGTTTTGCTTGAAGATATTAGACTCATTTCCCTGCAAGCTCTTTGACTTCTGAGTGGCATTGATTGTCTAGAGAATGTGAGCTGCCTGAGCACAGATCTTCTGAAACTCAGCATATATATTGATGATTGCATTGGCTACTGCCACCATTCTCTGAAGGTCAAAGAACAGCTTGTCATTGAAGTCTGTCTTGTAGTCCTCTTCCATACAGAGTGCAATGTGACATGCCACGTCCCCATTAGTCTGGTTTTCAATGTATGCAATTCTCATGTGTTCAGTAGGGTAGTGGTCAGCATTCTCTCAGAGCTTGTTCTTCATCTAAAAGAGCCAGTGTTCAAATTTTGACTTCTTGCTGTCAGTGAGGTGTTTTGAGTCATCAATCTTGACAGATCTCTGGGTAGTCTCAGAGAGGATAACACCTCAACTTGCTGCTTGATTGCTGACTGTCATGTGGACCAGAGTGTGGCTAAGTTCATTGTGTTCAGCAATTAGCTCATCAATCTGGCTTTGCTTGACAGCAGTCTGGTCAGTGATGTTGTTTCATTTCATCCTCAGACATGTGATTGTATTTCTCAATGTTTTTTTATCATCAAAGATGCTGTCAAAGATTGCTGCTAATTCTTTGTAGACATGGTTCTTGTCTGAGTGAATCATCTGTCTGAATTCTTCAAGTGAGACCTGTGGTTGATCAGTTGGCCTAGTTAGAACATATCACCAGTTCCTCTTGATCTTTTCAGAGGGCTGGAAGTCTGAGGTGGTCATTCTGATCTGGGTCTCTCTGATAAGTAGTAAGGGGGATGAATTGCTATTGTATGTTGTGCCATCAGATTCTCACTGAGCAGGTTCTACTCAATTCTGAGTAGAAGGGGTAGGATGAAGCTTAGTATTATGTAAGAGAGTGAATGTGAGCTGCATAAGAAGGAAACTCTCTGCATTGCTAACTGCTATATAATGAAATACTAAGCTTGATGGAATGAAAGAAAGTGCTGGGGCCTGCCCAGGTTATAACCACCTGCATGGTCATTTGATCATGTGAGAATATTTGACCTAACTGGGCGCCGAGCTTAATCCGACGTCGAGTCTAACCGGGCACTAAGCCTTGATCAGGCTCGGTCGGGCGCTGAGCCTAACATTTAATAGCTGCTTGAGCTACAGTATTGTTTTATTTTATTTATAAATATATGACTATGTTCTTTAGTACTTTTTTATTATCAGAAATGCTATTAAAAATTATTATTAATTTATTATAGATATGATTTTTATCTAAGTGAATTATCTATTTAAATTTTCAAATAAAATTTATAATTAATCAGTTGATTTTGTTAAATATATTGATAGTTCTTTTTGATCTTTTCAGAGAGTTGAAAGTCTAAAATAATTATTCTAGTCTGAGTCTTTCTGACAACTAAGAAGAATAAGTTGCTATTTTGAACTGACTGTTTAAACTTAGTATACTGTTATATTATCAGATTCTTGCTGAGCAAATTTACTCAATTCTGAGTAGAAAGAGTAAAAAAAAGTTTAGTATTATGTTAGAATGTGAATGCAAGCTGTATAAGAAGAAAACTCTCTGTATTGCTAACTGTTATATAACAAAATACTAAGTTTGATAAGATAAAAGAAGAGTGCTGAGATCTTGTGTGTGTGTGTTTGTGTTTTTATTTAACACCCAGTTAGTCCATGTGCCTTATGAGCATATGATCTAGTAGAGTCTATGTTGAACTATAGAGCAGATAGAGCTATGTCTGTAGATGACTATCTATCTAGTAGCTATCTTACAAATAAGATAAAAGAGTTGTGTATTGCTGCATCAGCAGAGCTCATGAGTCAGTTGTCATAGAGCAGAGATTTTGAGAGATTTTAAATTTGTGAGAGAGAGGTAGAGGAGATAGATGGAAAGAAAGACAAGAAAGAAAAGAAAGAGAAGAAAAGAGAAAAAGAAAAAAAAAATAATGAGAAAGACAGAGACAAGACAGAGAAGAGAATAATCTGTGAGATCTAATCTGAAGATGTGTGACAGCACATTGAACAGATATTCTGATAGAAGACTGTTTCTCTTAGTTAATTGTTGAATTCTAGAGCCTCACACAAGATTGTCAGTATCTCATGAAGATTGTAGATAGATCAGCATCACTTTGCTGCTTTTCTTGCAAGAGTGCAATAGTAGAAATGATCTGAGATTTTGCTATGTCTGCACCAGCAGTAGCACTCTGCATCTTTATGCTTAAGATAACTGTGATAGATTGCAAAGTCTTCATGATCTGATCAAACAGCATAGAGCTTTTCTAATGTGAAGTGTGAAAGTTTTACCTCTGTTGAGACTCTCTTTAGTGAGATCTTCAGCTTCATATAGTATTTGAGCTGATTTTTGACCCAGTAGTTCTCAAAGACCTGTGTGATTTGTTTCATAGTGTGCTGCTTTATATAAGCTAGAATGTCTATGCTGTCAGATTGAGATATCATGCTTGCACTTGCTGTCTGCACTGCAGCTGCTTTGACTTCAAGATCTGTCTTTTCATTATCAGTCATGTCTGTGTGATCTGAGACTCATCTAATGATCACTCTGCTTTTAGTGATCAATAAGAGTCTATCTCTGCTCTGTCAGATCTTTATGACTTTTAGAAACTGCACAAAGACCTGCTGACTAGAGGTGTTTGACACAGATTCAAGAGCTTATGCTATCTTCAAATTATCTAGACAAATGTAGACATTGCTGACAAACTTCATCTGAGATGAGATGATGACTTTCTTTAGACTTTGTAGAACTGTCATTGTCTCTGTGTTAAAGATCTCTGCTTTATTCATTGATAGATTTTCTGTGAAAATTAGATGATATTTGCTACATCAGCATATAGCTCATTCTGCATCAGTCACACACTGAGGACACTCTATCTGTGAATCATCAGTAAAGATTATCAAATTCAGAGAATTGTATTGTTATAGCCAGCTCTTAAAGTCTTATACTGTCTGTTTCTTTGTGGAGTCTGTCTCATACTCAATCTGCAGATCTTCTTTTCTGAAAAATCTCATTCAAGAAGATGTGAGTAGAGAATCATATGCTTCTATCTCATCAGCATGACTGGATGCTCTAGACAGATGTGTGGTATAGAGCTTGATGATAGCTACTTTATTAGAGCACTTCACTAGTGAGTGCCTCTTGTCAAGCTTTTTGATTCTTACTGCAAATACAACATGCTGATTATCTAGTGTCTCTTTCATTGACATGATTTCTAGCTCACAGTGTAGAGCTAAAATGAATGTGATCTTGTAGACTGACAGTGCCTCTCACAAAGCATCTCTAAGAACTAGATCTAGCTTTCTAACTAGACAATTCATTCAATTGAAGGTTTTCTTTCTCTTCTTCATTCATGTGACTTCAGGTCACTAGGCCTCTGCTTCATAACAGAGCACAGAGAGCACACAGATCTGAATGAATTGTTTAAGCAGTTGTACTGAGACATCTCTTGCTGTGTTGCTTAGTATCTATATGTCATTAGACATCTGTCATGCCTTAGCTGTCATGATCTTCACATGTTTCTTGAAGCTCAGTTTTCTATTTAGTCAGATTTCTAGATATCTTATGAAGCTTTTCACTGCATTTGCTGTAATAGAGTGAGTGTCAGATGTTGTTTCAAGATCAATTGAGAGGTTTGAAAGAATTTTGCACTGTGTGAAGTATGCTATCTCAGTTTTGACAAAATCAAATGTTAGTTCTTCTTTGCTAGCTCAATCATTTAGCAACTTGAAATTCTTCTGAAGAGTAATAACATTCTTTTTGAGAGTGATTTCAGCACTAAGAAGTTCTAGATCATCTGCATAGTCTGAGTGTGCACATCTTCTTTGTATAGTTTCTAGAAAGAACAGAGACTGAATAAACAGCATGAATAGAATAGATGAGATTGATAAGTCTTGTGGAAGTTCTGCTGGGATATCAAAGAGCTCTTTCAGAAGTTCATTCAATCTGATCTTGTCTGTGTGTTCTGTCATGAAGCATTTCACCCATCTAATTAAATTTGATGACTAGTCTTGTTCTTGCAATCTCTGCAGCATTCTTCCTCTGAGTACAGCATCAAAAGCATTCTTGATGTCCAGAGTAAGAAGAGAGACTACTTTTCCATGAGCCCAGGCTTTCTCTATATCATGAATCATTACTGCCACTATGTCTGAGACAGCCTGCTCAGAGAGGGCTTTAAAGTGCTGAGGGTGGACAATCTTCTCTTGTATAGCTGTCCAGGCCAGCTTACAGACTATCAGATGTTTCAGTTCCTTCCTCAACACTGAGAGAAGGGCTATAAGCCTGTAGGATCACAGAAGTATTGAATCTCTATTGACCTTAGATAGCACAATCAGTATGATCTTTTGAAAGAAGGTTGGATGCTAGTCAACTCTAAGACAGACTCTGAACAGTCTTCCACTGATATCTTAATATGTGGTCATGTCTTTCATAGCATCTCTGTTGGCACTTCATCAGTTTCTGAAGTGGTATTATCTGTGTTCAGCAGAGAACTTTGTATCTCATGTGCTGAGACAACAGAAAATGATAATTTGACAGATGATGAATTGAATCAGCTAACTGAAATATCCTCTCTGCTTGCAGTCTTCTGTAAGAGCATCTGTTGCAGAAGATTTCTTTTTTCTCTAGAGATTGTTCACATTCACTCAGTTTCTTCATCTACAAGAGGGGGGAAATGAAAGGAGTCAGTTGAATGAGCTCATTTATTCATCTTAAAGATATCTTTTCTCATTGAGGTCTCTGCTATTTTGTCTCATCAGTATTCTCTCTTGACTTTTCTGATGATTCTAGCTACATTTCTTTTTGCTTCTCATAAAAAACTAGAGTCTAGGTACTGTGCATGATGTAGTGTTGTCACTGCTTTCTGACAGTTCTCATTTCATCATGACTGACCTGTGTCTTGTCTGATGCTCTTCTTGATGAAACTTTCCAGAGAAGCTATTAGTGCATCTGTGATATCTTTAGTCAGAGTATCCAGCTGATCTGTATTGAAGTACTCTGAAATATCACATAGTTTGTCTAGTTTTGACTTATAGACCTTCAGCATTTGATTAAAGACCTTCTCATCCATGATATTAAGACAGAAAAAATGAGGTGATCTGTCAGACCTTGCACTCTGTAGAAGACTGATTTTGATGAGAAGAGTCTGATGATCAGAGGAGGTGTAAAGAAATCTGTCCATCTGTGTGTCCACTTCTTTGATAACTAATTCTGAGGTGGCCCAGGCCAGATCTATCATGTTATGCCCACATGTGGGGGTGTCTGGGTCCATGGTGAGAGTAAAGTTGAAATTCATGATCCATTGCAGGAATGATTCCACTCACATGCTTGAAGACACTTCTAGTTGCCACACAGAATGCTTGATATTGAGATTATCAGCAAGAAGCAACAGAAGTGCTGAGACAGATCAGAAGAGAAGACAGTTCACATCTTGTTCAGAATTCTCTGCATCTGAGAATGCATTGTATATGTTGACTGTCTGAAGTTATAGATCTCAGATCTGTATGTGCAGCATGTGAATGTCTCAGTTTTCTGTTCAGAGACCTGAAACTGCATGAGTATAGATTTGTGAGTGTTTATGCACATAGGTGAGAACTCATGACTTTCTGTTCCACTTTTCAATTGAGGCAAAGCAGTTGAATGCTAGATGCTTTTTGAAGATGTGTTGACTTAAGTTTCTGTGAATTCAGAGTTTCTGTATGAGAAGAATGTCAATCTTTCTTTCAAAAACTAGATTGAGAGTCATCTTATGTGCTAAGCTCTCTTTTTCTATGTTGACTTGCATAATCTGCAGAAATTGCAGAGATCTAGAGTTCTTCTTCATTGAGTAGCTGAAAGAAGTGTTAGGGAGCGAATGCGAGCTGCATAAGAAGAAAGACTCTCTGCGTTGCTAACTGCTATATAACGAAATACTAAGCTTGATGGGATGAAAGGGGGTGCTGGGGGCCTGCGTGGATTATAACCACCTGCATGGTCGTGTGGTCACATGATATGGATTAGGCCTAATCGGGCGCCGAGCTTAATCCGACGTCGAGTCTAACCGGGCACCGGCCTTCGGTCGGGCTCGGTCGGACGCTGAGCCTAACATCACCCCCCGGTCTAGGGGCAGGCATGTCCTCATGCCGGTAGGTCGTCATCAACCTCGTCCTTCAGGTAGCTGTCTGTCTCCCATGCCTTCAGCCACTCATCTAGTCGCCTTGGGGGTCCAGCTTTTGTAGGGTTAGCCTCATGGAAGTCGCGTATGGCGTGTGGTGATCCTTTGAAGTCGCGAGTGGGGTACCATGAAGAATCCTCATCAAACCCCTTCCAGCGCACCTGATACTGCAGCTTGCTCCGGCTTATTCTACTGGCCAGTATACAATCTATTTCTCATTCATTCTCACCATCTATTTCAATTGGGTCTGGTGGTCTGATAGTCTGGCCAGGTAGAGGGTCTCTGAAGTCCTTGCGTAGCTTGTCTGGGGAGAAGATTGAATGAATTTTCATTGTTATGGGGAGGTCCAGTTTGTAGGCATTGCCCACCTTTTCCAGGATTCTGAAGGGGCCGGCATTCTGCTCTGCCAGTTTACAGCTTGGTCAATCCATCTTGTATGATTTCAATGTTAGATAAACAAAATCTCCTACTGCAAAGTCAGGCTCTTGATGGTGCTTGTCAGTCTGCCTCTTCATCTGTTCCTGTGCTGTCTTTATGTCTTTACTCACCTGGTTCCAGATCTCTCTCATTCAGTGAATGAAGCTCCTTGCTGCTTCTTGATTTCTTTTCTCATTCATGTCCAATTTCTCTGCCAGTGGTTGCCAGTCAAATGACATTTGGGGTTCATATTCATTTGCTGCGAGGAAGGGGGAGATCCCTGTGGAAGCATTTGAGGTAGCTGCGGAGGCATGGTCTATAATGGGCAGTCACTCATCCCAGTCGTCTTGGTAGTAACTGACATAGGGGCGAAGACAGGTGGCAATGTATTGATTCACCACTTCTGTCTGTCCATCAGTTTGTGCATGATGTGCCGTTGAGAGTTTCAGTTTTATGCCCAGGATCTGTGTAAACTCATCCCAAAAGCTTGATATGAACTGGGGGCCTCGGTCAGAGACAATTGAGTCAGGCGCCCCATTGTATGAATAGTAGAATCGAATGAATAGTCAGGCCAGCTCCTGGGCTGTAACTCCCCGGGTGGTTGGAATGAAGATTGTCTTCTTGCTTAGCCGGCATACTATGACCAAAATGGCATCATAACCTGTTTTGCTTTTCAGCACATCCATGAAGTCCATTGCAATATGCTGTCATGCCCATTCTGGTATTGATAATGGCTTTAGCAAACCAGGAGTCTTATCTCTTGGAATTTTACTGATCTGGCACACATGGCAGTTCTGAATATAGCATAGGACGTCTGTCCGCCAGGTGGCCCACCAATAGCGTGATTGCATCAGGGCCAGGGTCTTTCATCCTCCAGGGTGTGCTGTTGAAGCTTGATCATGAATTTCCTGCAGTAGCTTGGCTATCAGGGTTTCCTTTTCCTGAACAGGCACCACTAGTCTTCCATTGTACCGTAGCACATTGTCCTCCATTGTATAGGGACTATTCTCATCATCTGCCTGCTGCCGCAGGGGCTCAATTGAGGTGGCTGTCTTGTTTAGAGACACTATGCATTCAGCAATGCTCTCTTTCTCTGAGGAGTTGATGCTAGCAATGTCTGTAGAGGGAGTGATCTGGGGGTCGAGGGTCTCTGGTCCTAGGAGAATCTGCATACGGCCGTTCTGTTGCCTTCTAACCTGCTCAGGCCTGCTCAGTGCGTCTGCTAGCAGGTTGGCCTTGCCTGGTCAATACTTGATCTCAAAGTAGAAATGGGAGAGGAACTCTGCCCAGCGGGCTTGACATGCATTCAGCTTCTTGGTAGTCATGAAGTATTCCAGTGCACGATGATCAGTGAGGATCTTGAATTGTTCCTCCTGTTGTAGTCCCTCAAGCTCTGCCCGCCATTCTTGTAAGGCCTGGACTACTGCCAGCATTTCCTTATCATGAACTTCATAATTAAGCTCTGCACCATTCATTGTCTTTGAATAGAAGGCTACTGGGTGCCAAAGGTCATTTTCAAATCTTTGACTTAGTACCCCAGCCACTACTCCGTCAGAGGCGTCAGTCTCAATACGAGTCTCCTGCTCAGGGTCATAGTAATGCAGTGTTGGAGCCTCCACCAGCTGCCTCTTCAGTTTTTCAAAGGCTGATTTGCATTCTGATGTCCACACAAATGGGGTAGTCTTCTTTGTCAATTGGTACAGTGGCTTTGCGATTCGGCTGTAGTTCCTTATGAATCGTCAGTAGAAATTGCCAAATCCTAGGAATGACTGGACTTCTTTGACTGTGGTGGGGGCCTGCCATCTCACAATGGCAGCTGTCTTCTCTGGGTCTGCCTCAATCCCTTCTGTACTGATGATGAACCCTAGGTATTTTGTCCTCTGGACTGCAAACTCACATTTCTGGATGCTGGCTTGCAAACCCGCTGTCTTTAGTCAGTCTAGCACTGAGTTTACATGCTGCTTGTGCTCCTCCAGATTCTTGCTATAGATTAGAAGATCATCCATGAATGCTGTCATAAACTTGTCCAGGTAGTCAAAGAAGATACTGTTAACAAACTGTTGAAAGCAGGCAGGGGCGTTTGTAAGGCCAAAGGGGACCACCTGATATTTATAGGTCCCGTAGCGGGTTCTAAAGATGGTCAGGTCCTCAGACTCAGGGTCCATTCAGATGCGATGGAACCCCTGCTGAATGTCCAACTTTGTAAAGTATTTCGCCCCATTGAGTCGGTCCATCAGCTCATCTATCAGGGGCAAGGGATACTGATCTTGTTTGGTTATAGCATTCAGCTTGCGAAAGTCAACACAGAATCATAGCTTCTTCCCACTACGGGCAATCAGGATTGGGGAGGCGTAGGGGGCTGAACTTGGGGTGATGAAACCCTTTGCTAGGTTGGCTTCAAGGTAGGTCTTCACTGCCTCTAGTTCCTCTAGATTCATCTTATATAGAGGCGCATGTCCAATGCCCTGGGTGAGGTCAACATCAGGCTGGAGCTCTATTTTAAAATCAACATTCTTCTGTAGGGGGGGCAGTTCATCTGATGCTTTCTTTGAGAAGCAGTCCTCCCGGCCTTTCAACCATTCTGGTAAGTTGCTGATCAGCTCCTCATCAGACTCATCCTCAGCTCCCACTAAACCCTGCTTCTCCTCAAGCTGTTTATCAATTTCATACAGACTGGTTATGAAGACTGTTGACTTCTTGTTCTTCATATAACCATGGAAGGAAGCAGCCCCAATGAAGTTCATATCCATCATCTGTGGTGCTGTCTCCTCCCAGGTCAGCCCCTGCCTCATCTCAGGCATCATGACTGAGCTGGTCCCTTTCAATCTGCGGAGCTGAGCCTGATGCTCCTGTCTGATCTCCTCATCCAGCTTGATCTCTCTTCATTCCACATCTGCCTGATGCTCAGGCTTGGGGTCTGGGCGCTTCAGTACTGACCAGGGTACTATCTTCAACATCGGCTCCGCCACCTGTTCAGGGATAGACCGTTCACTCGGCCAAACCAGGTGTTGGTTTTTAACATCAAGCCATATATCCTGTGCTGTCAACCACTTCCGTCCCAGGATGACAGGGTGCTGGCCTAGGTCTGTTACCAGCAGAGGGACATTCTGAAATCTCCGGCCATCCACCCAGAGGTTTAGGGTCAATGTGCAGTCTATCACCCCGCCGGGGGCGCCATTGTATCCCTTCATGCGGCATTTGAATGGGAGTTCTTGAAACTTCCTATCAAAGAATCTTGCCAATTCTATGGCATATCAGGTATCAATAAAATTCGCTCCATTTGCTCCAGTATCAGCAAGAGAATTTGTAGAAGTAGCAATTCCATTGTAGGCTAATTTGATTGGTACATTAAAGCTTTTCCCCCCAATCAAGTCCTTCATCTCAAACCTCTCACAGACTATTGAACTACCTGAGGTGGAGTCTTCTCTCAGGCTCACTCTTTTCCTGAATCTGCTGAAGGCTCAGGGGCATCATTCCCTGTGAGCTCAGCAATCACCTGCTGGGACTTCTGCTTTGCAGGGCAGTTCCTGGCAATGTGGCCTTTTTCCTTACAGTAGTAGCACTGAATATCCGGACGAGAGCTCAAGGCCTCCTTCACAGTAGGGGATTTTGTTGTAGAGATGCTGGGGGGTGTTTGACTGTTGGCAGTCCGCAGGGTGTTCTGCTTGAAGGTATTAGGCCCATTTCCCCGCGAGCTCTTTGATTTCTGGGTGGCATTGATTGTCTGGAGGGTGTGAGCTGCCTGCACACAGATTTTCTGAAACTCAGCATATGTATCAGTGGTCGCATTGGCTACTGCTACCATCTTCTGGAGGTCAAAGGACAGCTTGTCATTGAAGTCTGTCTTGTAGTCCCCTCTGGCAATCTTGGCCTCACCTGCCAGGTGTAAGAATTTTGTGACAAATTCATGATAATTGTCCCCATTGCGCATAATCAGCTTGCGATAATCACTCTTGGCATTTTGCAGCTTGTTAGCATCCTCATATATTGACTTGAGGTGCTCAAATATCTCTTCTGCAGTCTGATATCGCTCGGGGTGGTCCTCTTCCATACAGGGTGCAATGTGACGTGCCGCGTCCCCATCAGTCCAGTTTTCGATGTATGCAATCCTCATGCGTTCAGTAGGGTAGTGGTCAGCGTTCTCCCGGAGCTTGTTCTTCATCCAGGAGAGCCAGTGTTCAAATTTTGGCTCCTTGCTGTCAGTGAGGTGTTTTGGGTCATCAATCTTGACAGACCTCCAGGTAGTCTCAGAGGGGGTGACACCTCGACTTGCTGCTTGGTTGCTGACTGTCATGCAGACCAGGGTGTGGCTAAGTTCATCGCATTCAGCAATTAGCTCATCAATCTGGCTTTGCTTGACAGCGGCCTGGTCAGTGGCGTTGTTCCATTCCATCCTCAGATGTGTGATTGTATCCCTTAATGTTTTTTCATCATCAAAGATGCCATTGAAGATCGCCGCCAACTCATTATAAACACAGTCGCTGTCCGAGTGGATTGCCTCTCTGAATTCCTCAATTGAGACGTGTGGTTGGTCAGTTGGTCTTGTTAGGAGGTATCGCCAGTCCTTTCAGCCCCTTCCAGGGGGTTGGAAGCCTGTGGTGGCCATCTGATGTTGGATTGAGCTGTTGTCTTCAACAGTGCTGTTGTCTTAGCAGTTGATCTGACGCGTTGTCAGGCTCTGAACTAGCAGGTTCTAATTCAACTGAGACACTCAAGTTTTCTGCTGAAACCTGAGTGAGAAGGTAGAAGGGAAGCTTAGTATTGTGTTAGGGAGTGAATGTGAGCTGCATAAGAAGAAAGACTCTCTGCGTTGCTAACTGCTATATAACGAAATACTAAGCTTGATGGGATGAAAGGGGGTGCTGGGGGCCTGCGTGGATTATAACGGGCCTGCGTGGATTATAACCACCTGCATGGTCGTGTGGTCACGTGATATGGATTAGGCCTAATCGGGCGCCGAGCTTAATCCGACGTCGAGTCTAACCGGGCACCGGCCTTCGGTCGGGCTCGGTCGGACGCTGAGCCTAACAAGAAGGGTGTTGTTGTTTGAGATAACATGTTGAGTGTTGTATTAGATGTTGAGTTAAGCATCATGTCTAATGCTGTGTCTGATGCTGTGCTCAATGCTATGCTTGATGCTGTGTTTGATGTTAGCATGAGATTAGATCTACACTCAGTAGAATCATTCAATCTCAGATCTGCTGATGACTCTTGATCACTGTATTTACTGTTACTTGTCTTGATTAAGTATGTCTTATTCTGTGCATTGCAGATACCTCTCAGCTGATTTCTTTAGTGTCTTTGAACAGTCTCATTCTTTATCTCTGGTCTGATGAGGCAGAATGAATCATTCATGACATGTGGTTCAAGACAGTTAGTGCAGCAATTGGAGCATTCACATGCTTCATTCTTCTTATGACAGAATGAATTTTCTTTCACATGATTTTTACAACTGCATTTTTTACAGTAAGAGATGTGAAGACAGTATCTCTTTTGATGAAATTCTCAGCATTTGCTGCATTGTTGTATTTTGATCTTAGATGTCTTTCTGATCACTGATCTTTGATATTCATATAATTCCACTTTTGATGACAGATTTACTGCTGTCTTTTGTGAAAAGTGTAATATAAAAGTGACTATTGAGTTTTCAGAGTGTATTTTTGCTCAGCAACTCTGAATAGACTTGATTCTGATTTGAAGTGTGAATCCTTCTGTCATGAATTCTGCTGAGAAATGTAAAGTTTTATCATCATAGTCATTAATCTTCATGAGCAGCTTAGAAATCAAACAGATGATTCAATGTTCTTTCTTCTCTATAAGCATTGATGAGAGTGGCTGCTAAAATATTCTTTTGAGCTAGCAGAGTCTTCATGTCTTGCAAGCTTCTAGAAATGATGACAATGCTTGTGAGAATGACTTGAACTGCTGTGATGACTGCTGTCAAAGACTCTGAAAGTTCAGTCTTCAGCTTTCTAAAAGTATTAATTGAGCTTGCTTTGTGAGCTAGATGATCTGAAGACAGACACATGAGAATTCATGATGTTTTTTCTTCTCTGAAGTTATTTCTAAGCAGAGGTTTCTGCAGTATGATTGCTGATGTTTTTATTACATTGATGCTGTCTGCAGCTGTCTTTGTGTAGATAGAAGCTCTTGCATCATTTACATCAGTGAAGTCAGCAGACTTGATTGTGATGAACTGCTTAGCTGTTTTTAGACTTTCATTGTATCAGTTCTTGACTAACATCTTCACAGCAGCTTCAAGAATCAGTTTTCTTGATAGATCTTTTGTCTTCATGACATCTAGATCTTCTTCAATCTGATCAAGCATATTTGCAGCAGCTAGTGCTTCTGCATGAAATTTCTGTGCCTCAGCCTCATAGGCAGCTAAAAGATTGCTAGTCATCAGATCATGTAGATTGAGATGTATTGATGTGACATTTCTGCTCTTTGAGCTGTCTGCTGATGTAGAGAAGCTTGAAGACTTCATGTCATTCAGTTCACATGTGCAGCAGATGATTAAGGTGAGAAGATGAAGTCTCTTGAGTGAACAGTATATGGGAAAGCAGATGCACATCAAGATTTGAAATATATTCAATGATGTTAAAGGGCTAAGCACACTGATAGCACTGCATCAGCACATCATCAGACTTACTGCCTGAGAAGATGAAAGAGAGTGTATAGAGATGTGATCAGAATTGATTAAGATGTTTTTGAGAGTAATTTCAATATTGATATGTCTTGTCTTGTGTTGTTGCTGAGACCTTGCCCAGATTATAATGACTTGCATGGTCACATAAGTCATGTGATGAGGGTTAGGCCTAATTGTTGAGTGTATGTGGCCCGGGCTGCCGCCCCGCCGCACGTGATATAGCGTATATTAGATAGCTAGCTAGGCCTCTCAATATGAGAGATTCAACCATTCTACAGATTATGGTCCAGGTAGCAGATTTTTAAGAAAACAAGATGTTTTAACTAGAATATGCTGCAACTAATGTGATATTGAATGAATTCAACTAGATTTTCTTTAAAAACATTCTTTTTATACTAAAAATCACAAGATCTTAAGGAGATTCTGTCTATTGTGAGAATGTGATCATATTCATGAAGAAATCAAAATAAAAACATCATTTCTCTCTTTTTTCTGTTTTTCTTTCTTTTTTTAAAAATTTTAATCTGAGGATATTTAAGTCTTGTGACTAGATGAGTAGATTATCATCTACTTCTCAATCAGAATGGAAGATATTTATATATTCTCATTCAAAGACCTTTAAAATATTTTCTACACTCTATGAAAAAGTAGAGAACACAGTGCCTCGTTCTGCAGACAAAGAAGAAATTGAATACATATTGACAGAAGAAGTAATGAAAGAAGCCAGCTCAATCTGTGATATAGAGAAAAGATCTGTATGTGATGAATTATCAGAGAATAATAGAACTTCTAGTCTGAATTCTGACTCTATTTCAATTTCTGCTCTCAATGCCAATGATATAATCACAATGACTGTAGCTGACCTACATGTGTTTTGTCAACAAATGATGGCTATGCAGAAGAACATCTGTATGAATGAAACCATCACTGTGTATACTTTAAAACAGAAGATATGTGAATATTATAAAGAAGTGCAAGCTTCAATGAATATAAAGACTATAATAACATTTGATGAAATCAACTACTAGATTTGGAGAATTAACATTTCAGCAGATGCAGAGGTTATTGAAGCCACTGATATTCTTATGAGAAACTAGCATAAATCATCTCAGAATGCTGATGTGTTGGAAAAGAAACATTAAATAGTATATATAAAGATCTTATATTATCAACTGTTGTAATCTCTACTAGAATCTATACATACAACAATTGAAACCTTAGAACTAGATAATGCAGCTGCTCTGTGGCAGAAGATTAGTCAAGAATATGCTATTTCTTTAGCAGAAGAACTCATAAATATCATGAAGAAGCTTTCAAACCTTGTTGCCAAGAATAATGATTACCTTGTCTATTAAAGAAGATTTCAATATCAAGTTGCACAGTATAAGGAGTTAGCTATCTAGAATGATGACTTTTATCATGATTCTTTCCTAATTGGCCTACATGATCATCAGAAAGCATTTGTAAAGACTCATCTTGATGACTTTTACGCAACTGATTAAGATTAAGTTGTGAATATGAATATTGATGATCTAATAAAACAACTAATCAATCATACAAATAAGATAAAGAAGATTGATTATTTGAAAATCTTTAAGACAAATACTGCCACTGTGGATGATGATAATAAGTAGCTCAGTACATTATTTTTTATCTTAAAGTGCAATGTTTGCAACTGAGCAGAGCATATAAACAAGACCTACTGATGTTAACACTCAGAATTGACAACTTATCAATGAAGAAAAGCAAATAAGAACAAAATCACTGAGAATATTGATAAGAAAAGTTATAGATAAATATTAAAAAAATAATAGAGAGAAGAGTAAAAATAAGAATAATAATGATAAAAATAGTAAAAAGACATTGAATCTTCTTATCTCACAATCTATTATCAATGCTGCAATCACACTATCTGCACTATCAGAGATATCATTCAAATCATGATATTTAAACATTTGTGCTAGCTTCAATATGAGTGGTGAGAAGCATTCAATAATGCATATTAAGCTTTCTGAAGATAATCTCAAGATTAGCAGAGCTGATGAAGATCAAACACAGATTAAGAGAGTAGAGAATATTCTTCTAGAATCAGATGAGAAAGATATTATGATAAAAGATATTTATTGAATCTCAAATCTAACTATCAATCTGTTGTCATTCATGAAGCCAGAAGACCAGCGCTTTCAATTTGAGTTATCCTCATCCACCTCATCTTATTTTATTATTCAGACATCAAATGATGTCATCTTTACTGCAATTTGAATGCCTCAGAGATCTATATACAAAATCATCAAATAAGAATCAGAAGTTTATATCTATCATGTGTTCAAAGCAGTCAACTTTACCGCTTAATTCTATGAAAATGAGGAAACAATGGTGACAGTTGATAAATCTAGCAATAGAAATAAGATATTAAAAACCTTCATGAAATGATATATTAATTTGAGTCATAACTATATAAGAGTAGTAATCATATTGATGAAGAATCTTTTATCTGTTATATAAATCAAGAATCTCAAAACAGGTATCTTTTATGATAACTGCATTAATGTAAAGGGTTAAGCTCTAAGAACTAGAGGCTAGTCCTCCTATATAACAAGGATGAATTGCTTGAGAAAGGGAAGAAAAGAATGAGATGAGAACTCAAGCTTAAGCAAGCTCACATAGCATGATCACATATGCATGTGCAAATGATGACTAGGCTGAGTCAGCTAGTCAGAGTGAATCTAGAGGTTCAACCTCTTATAATACTCCTCTTCTCCCTCTTTGTTGTGGGCCTTTACAACTATTTAAAGCCCTCTTTACATCTAATTTTGCCTGCTGAGAGGCCTCTCAAGTGTTCAAGACCTTCACTTCTTGTAGGAGACTTGCATCATTCCATGTAGACTCAGCCCAACCTACTCATTTAATGAGGTATTGCTTTTTCCTCTGGTAGGTTTGTTCACTCTGAATTTTCTCAATCTCAAACTCAGATCCTTCTGAGGTCTCTATAGTGGATGGCTGCCAGTCAGTTTGCCTCTGACTAGGCAGGGGATTCATCATCACAGCATGTAGAAGCTTTACATTAAAGACATTGTGAATACTGAGTGAGATATTCAGTCAGTAAGCATGAGATTCTATCTTTTCTAGCACAGTATATTGATTGTATTTCATGTCCAGCTTCTTGCACAGATGATTAGTTCTCATGTTCTCTAAGCTCAACCAGACCTTATCTCCAGGTTGAAAGCTTGAAGCCAGGTCTCTTCATTTATTTGCATATTTCTCTTGAGATTGCTGAGCATCTGCCATTTTTACTTGAGCCCACTTCAACACTTCACAGGCCTTCCTCATGTAATCATCTGCAAACTCAATGAGATTATGTGGTATTTCAATAGGGGGTGCATCAGTTATATCAATGAAGGAGATGTGGAAAAGATGTGTTAAAAAAAACAAACTCATATCCATTGAAGCAGCATCTCTATTATTGATGACCAGCTCTGCTAGAGGAAGCTATTCACACCAGTCATTCTGTTGAAAGCTAACATACTTGTGTAGATAGATTTTCAGAATCTGATTCATTCACTCTGTAGCTGCATCAGTCTCTGAATGATAGACTGTGAAGAGTCATCTCTTAATGTCTAATTTCTCACACATCTGAGTTCAAAACATGCTTGTGAAAGCTGATCCTCAATCTGACACTACCACCTTAGAGATGTCATGTTGAGAGATGATGTTGTAAAGAAATACTCTAGTCACTGTCTTCACATCAGTTTTCTTAACTGCTTTTAATATAACCTTCTTGGTCAGTCTGTTCATTATAATCATGATGTTCATATATTCTTTAGAGCTTGGTAAGTTCACAATAAAGTTAATGGAAAGCTCCTGCCATATGTGTTCAGAAATGAGGAGAGGCTTAAGTAGTCTCTGACATCAATCTCTTCATGCAGTGTTTGATCTGCAAAGATGACAGTTTTTAATCATTCTTCTCACATCAGCAGCATAGTCTGGCCAGTAGAACTCACATCTTAGAACTCCTGCTGTTTGCTCTCACCCAGAATGACTGGTAAGAGATGAGTCATGAGCCTTGTGCACTAATCTGATTCAAAGAGATTTAAAGTCTGGCACCTACTTATGATCTTGAAAGAGAAGCTCTCTGTTCTCATTTAAAGAGAACTCAGAGACAGAGATCTTAATGCTGACTTCAGAAGAAAATCTGAATCTTTTCTCACAAAGAGTTTACTTCAGATGCTGCAGAATCTTGTCATTTTTGCAGATCTCATTTTATTGAGCTTGAAGAGACATCTCAAGTTCTACACTGACAGTGGCCACTATTGATTCCATTTCAGATGCCAGTATATTAAACCTAAGTAGTTGAGTTTGTCTCTGCTTGATCCTCTCATCATCAGCACTCTGTGGCATGTCCTGCTCTTTTCATGATAGAGTATCTGATCCACTGTTCAACTTCTCTGGCCAGTAATCAATTTTGAAGTTGAATTGATAGAGAATATCCATTCAACATAGCTGTCTTTCATTTAGTCTGTGTATAGTCATGAAGTATTCTAGATTCTTATGATCTGTGAGGATCTTAAATTCCTTTACACTTTATAGCTTAGTGTCTCATTTCTTTAAACACTCAATTATTGCTAATAACTCCTTATCATGAATCTTGTAGTTGCATTCCGCAGGTGAATACTTGTGAGAGAAGAAGGCACATGGGTGTAGAATGCTCTGCTCATCATATTGTAGCAGCACTTCTTCTGAGATGTAATCTGAGAAGTCTATTTTCAATATAGTCTCACAGTCAGAGTTGAATTGAAGCAGGATTGAAGCAGAGATAAACATTAATTTTAGATACTTTAAAGCTTTCTCAGCCTTGCTTGTCCACAAAAAAGAAACATTCTTCTGTGTAAGAATCATCAGTGAGGTCATGATCTTTGAGAAAACTCTGATAAATTGTCTATAGAAATTGACAAAGCATAAAAATCCTCATACATCTTTAAGAGTAGTAGATGTTGCTCATTTCAAAACAGCTTTAACCTTCTTCAGATTCATTTGTATACCCTTGCCTGCTTCAATGATGAATTCAAGATATTTTGTGCTGTTCATCTCAAACTCACTCTTTCTGATGTCTGCCTGCAGGCCTGCTTTCTGTAGACACA